ATTCAAAGCAAGAATGGATGGTATAACTTATAAATATGTAAGATTGATTCAAGAGAGAATAATTGTCTAGCATGACATGGTGAACTAACTTTCTTAGCAGCAGACCTAACAAGAGATTCAATATAATCTGTCCACGCTATGCCAGCCAAGAATGTTAGCCCAAGAAGGCACAACAAGTTGCTCCTTAATAAAGTTTTCTTTCATGTTCAGCAACCCTTTCTGTCTTAGTGGCTTGTTTGGGTTGAAATGCTTAAAAAATAAAATCATTGTGTGTATATATATATGCATGCATGCATTCTGACATCAGGATTTCCATATTTCAAATTTTGTAATAGTTAATACGGTAAGAGGAAGGTGAGAATAAACAGATCACATTTCATAGAATCTGTTTGCAGCTTGAAATTTGAAAGAGGTTCTTAGACTCAGCAAGAATTTGACAAGCTGAACCAGACAGATTGAAATGGATTGTAAGGCAATTTAATTCCCAGTGAAAAATAACAAATAAATCAATTCTTAGCAGTTATTACTAGAAAAGAATTTCAATGATCCTAGCTGATCTGAAAGTTTTCAAGTGCTGGTGGCAAAGTACTTGAAATTGACCTTTAAAGCATCACAATCAACAACTGAAGGTCATATATTTCTGGCCTTCATTTCAACAAGTCACCATTACTCTAAAGCTGTCTGTACAATTAAAAAAAATGTGAAGGACCAAATTGATCACAGAAAATTATCCATGGGCTGGCCACAAGAGTAAATTTTCAGAGTAAATTTCTCTATATCTGATATAAAAAGCAGGAGTGAGATAGAACCATATAGAGAACAATAATGAGAGATAAATAGATACAGAGAGTAGGAGTGAGGTGCAAATAGATACAGAGAGTCGGAGTGAGGTGCAAATAGATACAGAGAGTAGGAGTGAGGTGCAAATAGATACAGAGAGTAGGAGTGAGGTGCAAATAGATACAGAGAGTAGGAGTGAGGTGCAAATAGATACAGAGAGTAGGAGTGAGGTGCAAATAGATACAGAGAGTAGGAGTGAGGTGCAAATAGATACAGAGAGTAGGAGTGAGATAGAGACCTATATAGAGGGAGGGATTGAGAGAAAATACATTTTTTTTTCTATAGAGAGTTAAAATTAGAGACAAAGAATGTGGAATATTGGTTGAATAATGTCATACTTCCACAAAACTGAATTTTCTTTGCTTGCAATCACTTGCTGAATTTATCTTGATGTACACAAAAAATACTTCATGTGGCCAGGGAGCTAAATTTTGTGCAGGTCTCTAGCATATTTCATGTCTAAAGACTAATTCTACCTTCTTCATCATATTATATATATATATATATATATATATAAACAAGTAAACAAACATGAAAAAGGGCTGTTTAAAATTGTGTGTTATGGATTTTTATATATATATATATATATATATATATATATATATATATATATATACACACACACTTTATTTTTTGGATATTACATCGAAAAACATGTCAAAAGCACTACACAATTAGTCATGCTTCAATGCATATCAATGCATCTGATCAGACAATTACTGATGAGTGAATGGTAACTGTTTACTCTCCAATAATTCACAATCACCTGATGAGATGCGTTGATATGCATCAAAACACGATTGCAATTGTGTAGCGATTTTGACATGTTTTTTGATGTAATATCCTAAAATAAAGAATATTGCTCTACATTGTATTGAGCCCTCTTTTAAATTAAATGTTACAAACGTTGGAATTGTACTCTATTCATTCTCATCTTCCCTATAGATTATGTGTGTGTGTGTGTGTATGTATGTATCATATCTTTATCGCTACTGTTCAGTTGTACCTTTTGTTTCAGATATTTTTTATGCTATTGTTCACCCAATACAAGGCCCAAGAGCTCCTCAAGGTAGAATGTTATTGAATGTTGTTTTATGTATGTAAGTGAAGGTAAGAAGTGCAGATTATAAGGATATGTAAGATAGATAACAGTTGACTCTGGATTTCATCTGATTTCTACATTTTATCTACTGCTTATTTAAAGCAGCTTATTTAAATTTAGAAAATATTTTTAGATTGTAAGAATTTTTTTGGGGGGGGTGGATATTGATTTAGTGATACAAGACTGACTAATTAACCCATAGCTGGGAGGAGAAGAAGTGGATTCATATCTTTCCCAAGGGTATTTGTGCATAAGTGAATATAACGAATCTGACTGGAATTGGAACTTGGCTCTTTGATTAAAAATTCTTAGTCATTATCCATTACACCAGTGGTCAGCAACCTATTGCTAACTATGTACAGACTTAGGGTTTTAAAATCATTCACCGTGTCAACAGCATACGTATTTTTATAAAAGTCAAGGTCAATATACCTGTTCTACAATATATTTTATATAGTAATATATAGTATATACACTGTAGTATATATTAAAGTTGAAACAGCTAAATATCTTCTTTGCATTTTGTTATTATTGGTTCAGGCTTAGTAATGTTGTTATTGGTTCAGGCTTAGTAATGACAGTATCGGTTCAGGCTTAGTAATGACAGTATCGGTTCAGGCTTAGTAACGACAGTATCGGTTCAGGCTTAGTAACGACAGTATCGGTTCAGGCTTAGTAACGACAGTATCGGTTCAGGCTTAGTAACGACAGTATCGGTTCAGGCTTAGTAAAGACAGTATCGGTTCAGGCTTAGTAATGACAGTATCGGTTCAGGCTTCGTAATGACAGTATCGGTTCAGGCTTAGTAATGACAGTATCGGTTCAGGCTTAGTAATGACAGTATCGGTTCAGGCTTAGTAATGACAGTATCGGTTCAGGCTTAGTAATGACAGTATCGGTTCAGGCTTAGTAATGACAGTATCGGTTCAGGCTTAGTAATGACAGTATCGGTTCAGGTAATTAGTTCAGGCTTAGTAATCGGTTCAGGCTTAGTAATGACAGTATAGGTTCAGGCTCCGTAATTTCATTTGCAGTTATGTGCCATTGGAAATTGCTTGATGTCCCATGTGTGTCATGCATGCTATATGTTGCCAACCCATGCATTACACCATTTGCAAATCCAAGCTTACAGCACCTGGCTATTCCCAAGCGGTCACCCATCTAGATACTGACCAGGCTCGAGAGTGCTGACCTCAGTGATTGTACAGGAACTGGTGTTTCAACATGATACAGTCATAAGCCAACTCTGGATTTTAAGAAATTAAGATTGTAGTGATGGGAGAAACATACTCGCAAGAATCTGTTCTACAAAGCAGTGGCTTTTGGAAAGAGGTTCTCTGAACGAGTGCTACATTAGAGGATGAAGCTTTGAAGAAAGACAGAGACAATAAGATATGCTTGCTGGCTGGATACAAAATGTCAATGAGAGACTAAAAGGAAGGTAAGGATAGAAAAGCGTAAAATTGTGATAAATAAAATTCTTCATGAGTAGAGAGAGAACAAAAGACACAACAGAAGAAAATATTTCTAAATTCTCTATTAGTGTTTTTGCCTGTGAAACAATTAAAAGCTTTTCATATGTATACCAATTTCACTACAACTAGTATAAATAAAGCAACGTCTTTTAAATACTAGAATTCTAGAGAGTTCCCCAAATAAAAGGCTCCAAAGCCACTCAAGAAATAGGATTACTATTAAAATAGGAGTAGATATGTTCGGCTATCACTTGATTCGAACTCCTTATATCATCTTTCAAACAGCAGTAGAAGTTTATCTCTCGTGTCCAATTTAGGATTGTGTTTCCAGTTCCTTCTAAAGTCTTCTCATTCTCTTTCATTCCTAGTAACCCTTTGTCTCTTAGGGGCATTATCACCTTGGTTGGGGCAAAATGAAAAAAACAAATGATAATGATGAATGGGGTGTGTGAAATGAGAAGGTGGTAGGGAGTAAAGATTATGAGTATAGATAGGAGGATAGATAACAAAAGGCTCTGGAAAACTTAAAGCAGTTAAGATTTTAGTGTTCAGGGGAAGTGAATGCAAGAAATTTAAAATGTCTTCTACAGTGCTGCTCAGGTTGAACCACAAGCACTTCTTACAAAGGCTAATAGACACATCTATCATGAGATGCTGAAAACTGACCACTCTGCTATCTAGGTCCGGTACAAAGGTCTTGTGCCCCAAAATCTCTGATACTGCACCCCAATTTATAATCTGGGCCCACCCACTTTACTAGATCTCAATTTTAATAAGGTCGTATTCATATAAAATACAAATTTTATTGCAATTAAGTACAATAATGGTTCCTATGCAATTTAACTAGAAAAATTGAAAATAAATACAATGTTTCTAAATTAGATACATGTCATAATAGATCATTCCATTTTAAATAAATCAACAATGATCTGTAGAATTTTTTAACATCAACTTGAGACTCTTCTTGTTAAAAAGTTGAGTAATTTTAATATATTCAACATTATGAATTAAAAAATAGTGAATTTTATAGTATTTTTTTTCTTAGACTGATCATAGGTAAAACAAATTCACAGATTTGGGATGAAGATAAAAAAAAGTATCCCAAATCCTTTAATAATCAGTTGTGCTTAGTTTAATTTACAACAGACATAAATGTAGGCAGAAAAAAAAAAGCAAATGTTGATAAGAAAGCGAGGGTTACAATACAATGCCCAGGGCACCCAATCACGCTCACTACCAACTGGTTAATGTGGTTCGGGGGGTAGTACATACTGGCCCTGTTCCCATCAATGTCAGTACAGCATTTTTATTCAGATGCTATGTCTAACACTTTGGCAGTTAACTCTCAAACCTACAGGATTTATATGGCAAAATATTACAACCAACATTTTTCTTTGAATGATGTCAGAACTATCTCAAGTATCTGACAATTAATAAAGATGACTTCTTTTTCTTTTTAAATCAAATCTTATTAGAACTAGTCAAGGTTGACTATGAGTGTAACAGTTTTCAGCTGTTTTTGCCAAAGCATATAATTAATGAATGGGTGATTTGCCTGAATGCTCATTCTTTTTCCTGTTAGCTTACAGCCACATCATGTTGAAAAAAACAGTTTCTGTACGATCACTGAAGTTAAGCAAAGTTGAGCCTGGTTATTACCTAGACAGGTGACCACTTGGGAATACCAGGTGCCATAAGCTTGTATGTGCAGGTGGTGTAATGGATAATTGCTCAAAATTGTTAATCAGAGAGCCAAGTTCCATTTGGGTTTGTTATACTCACTTATTTTTATTTAGATGCACATATGGGGTAGGGGTAATGGCTAGCAGCTCAGAACACAAAACCACCACACCAAATTCAAGTTGCAATTGAGTTTTGTATAAATACTCTTTGGAATGGTATGAATCAATCTTTTCTCCCCAAACTATGGGTTAATTGGTAATCCTTGTAACACTAACTCATAATTATTTAAATAAAAAAAAAATAAAAAAATGATAAAGAGCTGATAAATGAATGAATGAATCAATCAATTTCCTTCTGTAATTGTGACATGCTAGTGACAAGATATTTAACGATAGAACATATGTGAAAAAAGACATAAGGAGAGAAAATCAGCTATTCCCTTAATGTCAAACTAAAGAGAAACAAGAAAGCTTTAGTCAAAGGGGGTAAAAGTGAAAATCAGGATTGAGACGTGCACTTTACTGTCTCTGGTAGGAGATAATTAGTAATCAATATCACTGAACAGTGAGAAAGTTGGCAAAAGTAATATATATCAGTTTTACCTGATTAAAACAGAAGTTAAGATTGTAGAGGTATCAACACCAGGTAGCTTTGTTTGCTTAACAAAGTTATTAGGGAATTTAAGAAAGAAAGGATTTGAGAACATTTCCATGTTAAATTTAAAACACGATGCATATGGAACAAAAAATAAATAAAATAAATAAATAAATGATATTATAAATGTGGCTGACTGATTAGACTTAAAAATTTACACTATCATTTGTTTTAAGTTTTTTTTATATTTGTAAGACAAAAAATAAACAAAGAAAATGTGAGGACCGTTTCCAAGCAGACTGTATGACTAAAGAAGGTTGTAGAATGGATCTACCAAAATGTTGACTACTAAGACATGCAGAGGAGTTTCAATTGTCAAAAAAAAAAAAAAAAAAAAATGTATTGAAGCACATATCTTATTTGTTAATCAAATAATTATTACTTGCAGGCTATTTACATTGTTCTGTACGTTTGAAAATTTCGTCTATTAAACATTTATTAGGAATATATTGAATAAAATTCACTTAAGTTTTAAAAATCCTTTCATTAAAAATACTAACTGTAAAAATACAGAATAAAATTAATTTCATGAAACAAAGGTGATGTTTGAAGCGTAATTCAAGCTATATCTTATTCCAGGCCACAAGATGGACATTCTGTTTTAATTAAAAATTAATGCAATATATCATACTTCTAAGGCAACGAGAAAAATATCTCTAAAATAGAAAATGTTTCTTATTAAGAACAAATTGTTGTTTGGCTGTACCATGGGGCATAACTCTTACAAAATATATATAAGTTGCTTCCCCTTACATGGCAATTTTTATTTTTTTACTTTTTTTTTCTAATATAAGAAATTTGACATGTTCAATTTACGAAAAATTATTCCGACTCTCCTTTATCAAGAAAAGAAAAAAAATGTGTGTGGGGATAACATACTGATATTCAATGACATAACATGAAAAATATGTTTATCTAATTTTTTTTGTTTCTCTCTCTCCACAAAAAAGAACATCCATAATGCATTGTTTTGGAATTCATATCTTAGAATTTTAGTTAAAATTTCTCTTATTGTTGATTATTCTTTATGGTAGCTAAGAGAAAACAAATTATGTTAAATTCTTATGTGATTTCTTTTTTATCTACTATATATATATATATATATATATATATATATATATATATATAGAGAGAGAGAGAGAGAGAGATGACAATGAAAAAAAGTAAAAACTGATTGTCAAGATTTTCCTTCTTACTTGGCTAGTGTGTTGCAGTCAAAATGAATCACATTTAACTTTAACAAATTAATGATTCAATCAAATTAAAAAAAATTAATATTTTATCACTCAAAGCAAAATTTAGACTCTTCATTATGCTGTAATATCAGGGTTTGTAGGTCATTAAATAGTGAGTTCACTTCTCAATTGCTCATTACTTTTGGCCTTGTTCCAGGGAAAAACTAAGCTACAATTAGAGATTAACTATTAAATAAGTTTTTGATTGTAAATAATTCTATTTTCAGAAAAGAACTCGACTTTATCAAATTGTAAAAATCAGCATAAAGATATCTGTGCTAAATTCAACATTCAACCATTGAAAGGATTTGCTTGTTTTCAATGTTTCTTTACATGTTGATTGAAAGTTTATGGCCTCATCACATTAAACACTAGTTTTCTGTGTGATAACTGAAGTTAAGCAACACTGAACCTGGTCAGGACATAGATGGGTGACTGAGAATACCAGTTGCAGTAAGCTTGGATGTGCAGGTGGTATAATGAATAATGGCTTGGAATTGTTAATTGGAAAGCTGAGTTCTAATTCCAGTTGGGTTTGTTATATTCACTTACAAATACCCTTGGGAAATACATGAATTCACCTCTTTTTCCTACCCCAGCTATGGCTTAATTAGTAAGACTTGTATCACTAAAACCATTATTATCTAAAAAAATAAAAAAAAAATAAAAATATTGCATGCAAAATATTTTGGCATTAAATAACCCACAGAGATTGATACACTACTAAACAAAAACAACCAAACAATGTTGATAGTACAAAAAGTGGATTGTATTCAAAAGATAGCATCATATTTATCAGTGCAGAAAATAAAATTGGTATGAAGTGTTCAAATTCTGGTTGAGGTAGTTGAAGGCACATTCTACTAAGGATCTTGGGTAAAACCAGAATCCACCACCCTAGACTATGGGTAAAATAGCCAGACTGACTTCTTGAGCCTTTGTAGAGTAACCAGTCTAGAAGTCGGCCAATTCACTGTGCAGAAAGAAACGGGAAACCACTCTGTTATCAAAGTTATGCAAATTTACATTTTATAGATATTATAGAAAAGAAAGCTGTGAGAATCCATCATTGCCTAGATGCAGAAGAGACATAGCCCTTGAGAAGGAGTTGATTATTAGAAACAGAAATGGTATATTGGATCACTAATAAAGTATATCACTGAATAAAATTTGTCAAATCAGAGGTGATTACTGATTTACTAATGTTAATTATATCTTCATTTAAAATGCCATTTATCTTCATGATATTGGTAATCATGGCACTTTACAGATTCCTTTTTTTTTTTGTTCAGCCACAAATATCTGTAATAGTGGGTTGATTTTATGTAGTCTTCCCCACAGCTTGAATTCAGATTTATTCTTTTAGATGGGCTACGATCCAAAGCTCGAGAGACCAGACTCCTCTGCTATTTAAACCATGGCAGGTGGGTGAGGAATTGTGGGCTTGAGATGGAATCAGGCCTTTCTCAAGAATGAACACAACAAACATGGTTGAGAATATTTTTTTCTTTTGTTAATACAAGGCCAAGGTAGAGGGTTTGGTTTGCTTTGCTTTGTAGCATATCAACCTCAATGGGTTATTTAATGCCCACAAGATTTTTACAGCTGGTAATATTTTTTTTCAAAAATATATTGCTGGTAATATTTTTTCCTTCAAAAATCTGTTTCTGGTAATATTTTTTCTACAAAAATATATCACTGGTAATATTTTTTTATTTTTTTTTTTCAAAAATGTATAGCTGATAATATATTTTTTTCAAAAATGCATTGTTTGGTTTGGCTTGTTTAACGGCATATCAACCTCAATGTGTTATTTAATGTTGACAAGATTTTTGTTGCTGGTAATTTTTTTTTTTCAAAAATTCATTGCTGGTAAGAATTTTTATAAAAATGTATTGCTAGTATTAAAACCTATTTTTACACTTTCATCATGTTTCGACCCCAGTTTGGTTTGGTTTGGTCTTACGGCATATCAACCTCAATGGGTTATTTAATGCTGACAAAATTTTTATTGTTGGTAATATTTTTTTTTTTAAATCTACTTTTCCTTCAAAAATTTTATTTCTTTTAATAATTTTCTTTCAAATATGTATCACTGGTAATATATATTTTTATTTATTTATTTTTTTTTTTAAATATATTGCTGGTAATATTTGTTTTTCAAAAATGCATTGCTGGTGACATTTGGTTTTCAAAAATGTATTGCTGGAAATAATTTTTTTTTACAAGGTTTCTGGTATTAAAACCTATTTTTACACTTTCATAGTGTTTTGACCCCAGTTTTTTTTTTTTTTTTTTATATGGGTGAAGTGTCTATCATTTTTATATACTTCTGACTATTAGCATTTTGTTTCTTGTTATGTTTTGTTCTTTGAACTTTTTTTGTTTCTACTTTCTCGTTTGATTTTGCTCCCTTAGTTTTACCATTCAGTTCTTTTAATGAACTTTGCTAGATAATAATCTTTCCCTTGTTTATGATGGGCTAGAGATTTGTTCCTCTATGTCCATTTTCCTTGGTTCTTCAATAACCGTTTTGTTATTTTTTTTGTATCTTTTCATTCTCTTGATAATGTTTCTATTTCTTGGATTTGCGGTTGACGATATAGGGTTTGTTTTTCCATCAGCTTCTTTTAATGATCTTTGTATAGATGATGTCCATTCCCTTGTTTGTGATGGGCTAAAGTTTTGTTTCTCTATGTCCATTTCTCTTGATTCTTCACTAAAAGAAGAGTTATTTTTTTATGTACCTTTTGATTCTCTTGAGAATACTTAGAGATTTCTATTTCTTGGATTTTTGTACTTTGGTTTGGAATTTTCGGATTTAACTGTTTTGTACATGTAGAGACTTTTTTGTTTGAGGTTGATGGGACAGGATTTTTTTTTGACTATGGGCATTTGATTTATGAGTGATATACTATATTTTAGTAGTTCTATTAAACTTTTTAATTCGTTAATAAGAGTTATAAGATCTTGGCTTCTTAATGCATTGTTTTCTTGGATGACTTTTTGTTGATTTGATATTTTAGTGATATTTGCATATGATGCTTCAAGTGAACTAGATTCAACCTGGCTTCTTGGAATGAGATATTTTGCATGTATTTTCTTCTAATTATTTCCTTTTTC